AGAGGGGTCTCTTGCCAGAGGGGGGGGGGCAGGAGGGGAGGGCATGGCTTAAAGCTGAGAAGGTGGGGCTGTCATGTCCAAAGTGCAGAAGAATGGGGCCTGCTGAGACAAAGCAGGCATGCTCACCATTCAGAGAGGAAGGAAGGCAGGGTCATTTAAAGATAAGCAGGAAAACCACCGTCCAGTTGTTCCCAGTGGTCTTATTAGAAGGGGGAGCTACAGCCCATAGCCGCAGGATCCTGGCAATGTGGCCAACACTCAGAGTTGGGAGGGTGGGGTCGTTGCCTAGATGTCTCAGGGAAGGGGGTTATTTTCAAGCCCAAGGGTGAGTGTGCCATATTTTGTGTTTTACTTTTTCTTTTTTTCCAAACAACCACCCCCCTTTCATGTTAGATTCTCATGCACATTATACACATTCTATGGATGTGTGTTATTTAAGTGGGTGTGTTACATGTGGGAAATATGGTACATTGTTCATCTGGGTTTTGGACTTGCTTGGTGCCTGCTATTCCTTGTTTCTGTTTGCAATGGAAGGCCTATCTGTGCCTCTTCCACCATCGTGCTTTGGAATAGTTACTTTGTACTAGATTTCACAGGTTTGTAGCTAAAGAGGACTTTTCCCCCAGGATGGACTATGCCTAATGTTTCATCCATATTTGGTCTAGATAAACCAGGATATGAAATTTTGGATTTAGAGCTTATTATTGACTTTTAGGATGATGTGTTAGGGTGAGTGTGTACTGCATGTGGTCAGGCCATGAATTTTGGAGGGCCTCTGATGCCATAGTGGATTATCCAATGAGTAGCTACCTAACTGCAAGGTCAGCAGTTCAAAGTCGCCATCTGCTCCCCAGGAGAAAGATGAGGCTTTCTGTTCCCCAAAAGATTTATAGCATTGGAAGCCCACAGGGGATGTTGTACTCCATCCTACAAGGTCATTATGAATCAGAATTGACTTGATAGCAGTGAGTGTGTTTAAAGGGAGGAATGTTACAGACTTGATTATGTTCCTCAAAAAACACGTGTTGTAACCTCTATGTGTTATTGAAGAATAGTGAAATGACTGTGGACTACCAGGACAGACAAACCTGTCTTGGTAAAAGTACAGCCAGAATCCTCCTTAGAAGCAAGGATGGCAAGACACTGACTCACGTACTCTGGACAGGCTATCAAGAGGGACCAGTCCCTGGCGAAGGGCATCAGGCTTGGCAAACTAGAGGGTCATCGAGAAACAGGATGACACACCCAATGGGATGAATGGGCACAGTGACCGGAACAATCGGCTCAAACATAGGAACAAGTGTGCCGATGGTGCAGGAACAAGTGTGCCGATGGTGCAGGAGAAGGCAGTGATTCCGTCTGTTTACGGGGGTGGTGTTGGGCAGGGTTCTATGAGTCAGATCAGGCTAGATGTCACCTCTAAATAACACGCATATGGTTATAATCCGTTTGGGGAATGGGTTGTCTTTGTTATATTAATGAGGCAGGTTAGTGTGGGTGAATCAAGAATCAACCTCTTTTGAGAAATAAAAAGAGAATAAACAAGCGAAAAGAGAGAAATAGACCATCGATGTCAAGACACAGAGAGATGTCCGAGAAACCAGGGAGCAGATTCTGCCAGGCCGTCTTTCCTGAGCAGGCAGGTAGAGGAGACTTGTAGATTGCTACACTGTGCGGGAATATGTTTCCCTTTGTTAAAGCCATCCTTTGTGACTCTGTCAGAGCAGCGCTGGATAACCAAGACATCAATGCTTTCTGATTTCCAGCAGAAATCCATAGGAAATACACAGTCAGGAAGGAGCAGAGTATTCTCATGGACTAAAACTGGGTAAGGGCCCCGCAGTTTAGAACGCCTGACACTAGACACCGAACACATTTTCACTGCTTAAACATCTATTTAAATTCACTTTATTTTGATGCTATGACAACACTATTGTAAACAAGTGGACATAACGCTAAATTCAGGCTTTTTATTAGAAGTTTCTGAAAAAATATCTCTGCCCCCCATCCCCACCTCCAAAAGGCCACAAACTGCATAGAATATGTAACGAAGTTTCTAACCTGTATTTTGTAAAAATTTCAATGTATTTTTCACTCCTGGAAAAATATTTAGAAACTCGGGGTATACATGCCATAAATTATCACTTTTAAATAGCTTACATTTCTTGTCAATGTCCCTAATGAAAACAGTCACTACATTTCATACTTCTTAAATCAAAGGAAGCTGACACTTACCATTGCTAAGGAAAGCTACAAGATATTCCAGCTCTGCCAGTGAAGCAATGCTTATTAACGTGCTGTTTTCTGACTGACAAGAACGCAGAGCCTCATTCCAGGTCTTCTCTTCTTTCTGAAGCTTGTAGCAGTTATGATGATAGGAATGCCAACCCGGCTCACAGAGTGTAGCATAATATTTCCAAGCCTCCTCTTCTCCTTAAACCAAGAACACAAGGTCATTGTCATAGTCCTTTCAGCCTTCTTTGTGACTCATCATAAACAAGAGATGCTGTCGGAATGATTACTTTAAAAATCACAGCTCTGATGTAAAGCAAAACATGTAGAAGGCAGAACAATAGCGTTTTACATCTCCAGAGTTGAAAAGAATTTAATATAATCTCAATGCTTCATTTACCAAAGGATACTTGCCAGAAATCATACAACCAAAGTGGAGTCAGGACAAAATAGAAACGTTAAGAGTTAGAGCGAACTGTCCGTTTTTCTTCTTTCTAACTTGTTATTGAGAAAGGGGTGACGGTTTACAGGGCTGATCAGTTTTCTACTCGACAGCTCGTACAGCTGGTGTTGCATCTCATGGGTTGCAATCGCGATCCACAGTGTAGCATTGCTTATCCTACTTCCTCCTTGTGGTTCCCCTTCCCACCCCTCCTTTCCTAACAGTACCAAACTTGGTCCTGAGGTCAATGCTGCCCTTTCGATCTCAGATAGCTGATTACTCTAAGGTGTACCTCACTCTATTTCTGAGACCACATGACCATATGAAAATAAAGTTCCGAGGATTTTATATACAGGCTGTAAGAGAGTACTGCGCATTAAATTGTGGCCTCCAACATTTACCCTGGAGCCTGAGCCCCATGCCTGTAGAGGTAATCCTGTTTGCAAAGAGGGTTTTCTTTGTTTCATTCATTCATTTATAATGGAGTCGGGTTCTAAATTTCTTCTAAAAACTTAGATGTGAGACATGTAACATGGGGAAAGACAGTTGTTCTGGGAGGTTGCCACAGAATGCCTGAGGCTGGAAAGGAAGTGGCAGAGCTGAAACCCTGTTGTGGACTTTTAGCATGGCGAAGAAATAAATTCCTGTCAACATCACACGTTTGCTAGCTACTGCTGTCCCTGTCCAAACCCCTGGCGTGTGAGTCCGCTTCAGTCCCAGCAACCCGAAAGCTGTAATCTTCGTGGAAGCAGGAGGCCACGTCTTTCCTTTGCGAGTAGCTAGGGCGTCCCAACCAATGACTTTTGGGTGAGGAGCCACGTACTGAACCTTTGCACCACCAGTAAACTAAGCAATGAAAACAGAGCTGTCGGTACTTGTGTTTAACAGAAAAGAGCTTGACGCGCTGGATACTTCCTCTGGACGTGAGCTCATCTTGACGGTCACTCTGAGGGCTCGGGGCTCGCTCTCTCCACAGAGAAACACAATCCCTGAGCTGTGGGCACTGGAGGGGAGGGGACGGTATGCACAACTCTTGGTTCTCCTTGTCCGGGAACTTGTCACCAGCCTGGTATTAACATTCTTTATGGTTAATTTATGCGGGGGTGGGGGTGGGGGAGATCTTTAATGTCAAAACACAAATAACTGGTTATCACGTGCAGATAACACAATTTTCTGTAATTACTAAGACAGAGTCAATTTGATTCTTTGTGCAATCTACTTCAAAGGCAAGAGTTCAACAGAATATATTCCCGAGTCTGAAAAGCTACAAAGCTTGTTAAAAATCTTACCAACATGCTAAATCTCGATAGTTTTGCTTCCTAATTGAGAGTTTAGTCTATGTAATCTGTAAAACTCAAGCCAAGCTTACAGTTATTCAGCTGATTCTGACTTATAGCGATCTGATCAAAGCTTTGTTGGGTTTCTGAGGCTGTACACTTTCACAGGGACAGGCCGCCTCACCTTTCTCCTGGGGAGCAGTGGGTGGTTTTAAACTGGTGACCTTGCAGGCCACAGTCCAGGGTGTATCCCACTATGCCACCAGGGCTCCATTTGTGCTGTGTCTGAGTTTATGCTAACTTTCCTTATAGCTCGAGATTATTTGTTATATCTAAAGCTTTTTGAAAATAATGTTAATCATTATGCTTATAGATAATTTTATCTAAGGGTTTTTAAAAACTGAATTTATTTAGTTTTGTATTTAATTCCTTAACTGCCATAAAATCTTTCACTTTAAGGAATTATTATTATATGTTAACCACAGACATTTTTAAGTTCAGTTCATAGATAAAAGTTCCACTTTGCTGATCCATTGAAAGCACTTAAAAGTACTCAGTTGAAAGTTTTAACAACGTCCTGACAAGCAAGAGAAAAGACAACATGACTGGTAACAAGATACGTTTTTGGGGAACAAGCAGTTTCATCTTAGAATAGAATGTCTATTTCTGCTAGATAAAAACAAAACCTAAGGGTCTGTAGTAAGTCATAGAGGGCTAACGGAAAAGGAACATTAAAGCTTAAGAGAATAAACGGAACACAAAGGCACAAACAGAAAGGAGAACTCGGGAAGCAGCTGAGGACCAGACGCCTAGAGAAAGCTGAGTAAGTGAAGAGAAGAAAGCCTGCTACGTGGAAGGGCAAACAAATAAAAAAGAAATACAACTAAAATAAGAGTTAAAGAAAAGAGTTAAAACAAAGAATTAAGAATAGGGCTATGAAAATATGAAAGTCACAGTCAGAGGACAATAGATTAGACCACACACCTAAGGATAATTTAAAACTAAACAATTTAATAATATACAAAATTAGACCTCAGAGTCTGCGACAGAAGATGGAAGAAATATCTAAGATACGAATTCAACCCGGTAACGTTCACTTTGTTACAGCAGCTTCTTCTTATGCATGATCTCCAACTCAAAATAACCCTGAGCAATGGAATGCCTAGAGGCAAAACAACAGTCATAGAAATGAGATCCTATGTGTAAAATATTTTACTGCATTGTCCCATTCTATTTGCCCCAAATTATAAGATTTATTGTTTTTATTGTACAACTTTAGAGAAATGAATTCACACAACATGGACTCTGGATGCCATCTGGTTCTGTTAGATATCTCTTTTAGATGCATTTCTACACTCTACCATCTTGGAACGAGAACAGAAACACAGAAACATCTTTAAACACTTTACTGGTCAGAAGCAGATGACATCTGAAGCAGACAGCTGGCCCTAAACTCCACGCAGCTGCTCACAAGTTTAGACTTGCTTAGTAATTGCAGCTATTGTATCCTATGTTATTAACTGCGCTTTGTTATTGTGCACGTCTTCCTCCATAGTTTCTTCACAGTAGAAGACTGTTAAAGTTTTATACTGCTCTCTGAAATAATTCCTACTAGTGCTTAGAGGGAAAATACATTTGCTAACTTAGTCCAGTGAAGAGGGACTGCAAGTAATTTAACTGAATGTTAAATCTGTCATCCTCATTCTCAACTTGGACATGAGAATTCAGACCCTTTACCAATTCCTGTTCTAAACTGAATCCTTGTACCTGATATTTCAAAAAATGGTAGACACCATGTCTATAACACGTGCCTATTACTTGATTCTGGTAACCATGACAGTAACTGTCACAGAGTTAATGGAATGTTTTTTGAAACAGGCTTGTGTTCACCATGTGATGATGTTTGCTATGTTAAACATCATGTACTGCAAAGAAACTACTTTCCTTAGAAAGCAGTTTGCTTGTTCATCTTGGTTAATGGCCCTGAGTGCCAGGTATTCCTATTAATTTGGTCCTTCTCTGATATGCCCTTTCTTGAAAAGACCCCTACTGCTGTGGTATGTGGAAGACCAAACAAATGGTGCCACGCTTCAAGCCACCTTTCATGCATAGTGTCTAGAGTCTTCAAAGTTTATCTCCCAAATAGGCAGTCATCTAAAGACATAGAAAAAGAAGTCCACTCAGAAGAAAGCACTCTTAGTGAATTTGCATAGAAATTCTTGATCACAAGGAGGAATTTTATGTGATCCACCAAAATCTAGGTGTTTGGCATAGGAGAGGCCTTTGCCCAGGGTGCAGACTGAGTTCCATGTTCTTTGTTACTAACAGACCTAAAAAACAGGAGGAATGCAAGCTGAGCCAACAATAACATGGACAGACAACCATGGCTACTCTCAGAATGAATGTTTTTGCACAAGCTGTCCCTACCCTTGAAAGATAGGTAAAACCACATTTGTTTTGTTGTTTTGCAAAAGGCTTGTGTACACTAGCTCCAGGGCAGGATGTCTTTAGGTTTACTGATGTCTGACTTAATAGTTACTATTTCCAGAAACTTCTCATCCAAAAACCCTTCACACTTTCTGTACTTTGAAACCATCTGCAATTTTACAAACTGCTACTAACTTCAATTGTAATATTTTTCAATAAATCTGTTAGCTTAAATGTTTAGAAACCTGATCTTGCTCTTTGATAGGAACAATTACAACAAAATAATAATAATTCAGCTTATTATTTTAACTCTAAACTGGTTTCCTTTAAATTCTTCTTTTAAAAAAATCATTTTATTAGGGGCTCATACAACTCTTATCACAATCCATACATACATCCATTGTGTCAAGCACATTTTTACACTTGTTGCCATCATCATTTTCAAAACATTTGCTTTCTACTTGAGCCCTTGGTATCAGCTCCTCATTTTTTCCCTCCTTCCCCCACCTCCCTCCCTCAGGTACCTTGATAATTTATAAATTATTATTATTATTTCATGTCTTACAGTGACTGATGTCGCCCTTCCTTTAAATTCTAAATTATGCTTCCTTTGAAAATGGCTCGGTTTTCAGCTCTATTTTCTGAGTTAGGGCATTAATTCCTACAGAAACTAGAAAGAAACAATAGACCTTATAAACAGAAATAATTGGACTACAGGTACTAGATTGTACTTAAGTCTTAAGTATACCTAAATATTATGCGGGGTATAATTAATAAGATATATAGAGAATTTTTGAAATTCAAGGAAGTAGAGAACTTCATAAAATTATTTTCTGATTCATTTACCTTCTAAGGGAACCATACATCAAACTCACAACTAGAATGAAAAAGCAGTATATACAGTTTTCTATGCAGGAGAATTAAGAATGTGAATGTTTTTAAAAGAGAGTACTAAAATATCTTATATGGTCAGGGTGTTTTGGTTTCTGCTTGGTGATCTGCTCATGGCCACTGAATCAGGAGAACGTGCTCCATCTTGCACCATCTCCACGATTGGTTAAAGATTCTAGGAAAAAAATTAGTTCTTGGTAAAAATCTAATTGCAGTTTTGGAACTAACAGTACTTTTAGAATAGCAGGTGCTATTAGGTATTTGTATTCAATGTGTAGTATATTCAATACCTAATATTTGTATTCATAGAAATATGAATCAGCCTTATAAAGAAACTCAACCCTCTTGCCATCAAATGGATTCCAACTTACGGTGGCCCTGCCCTACGCAGAATTTCCAAGACTGCATATCTTTAGAGGAGCAGACAGCCTCATTGTTTCCACACAAGAGCGATTGGTGGGTTTGACTCTCTGATCTGGAGGTTAGCCGTGAAGTGAAACACCTTGCAGACAGAACCATCGGGGTTCCTGAAAATTAGCTGTATCTAAGTTGAAATGATTATTAGCAAAAATATAAAGAAATGAAGGAATTTGAAGATGTTCAGAGGGCAACTTAAAATAAAAGCACTTACCAAAAACTTCATGACCAGTGTGATTTAAGTATTTTTTACAGATATAAGGCAAGGCAGACTCACAGTCCCGACTCTTCCAGGCATTAGGCATGAATGAATTAAATGTCCCACAGTGATATTCAACAAATGGCTCAAAGTTTATGTCTGAAAATACAATGTGTATTTTTAATGTTAGATGACAATACAACTGGTTTAATGTATATTGAGATACAGTTTTAGCATGGGGGGCGGTAGAACAATCCATCTCTTTGCTATATAAGAAGAGTAAATAATAAACAATGCTACTGGAATTCCGGTTTACACCTCCTGTGTTTGAACATGTCTCTGTGATCAGTGAATGATAGCAGACAAGGGCATTCAGGATCGCACTTTGTCGTGCTCAACCAAACTAAACTCACTGCCTTCGAGTGGATTCTACTCCTAGCCACCCCACAGGACAGAGCAGACGGAACTGTGGTAGCAGCCCCATGGGGGCCCACTATGCTACTGGGCCCCTTAGTCTCCCCAGCGTGCCTTTATATAAAGGCCCAATCAAAACTATGGCTTCTAAGGATCTATGCTGAGCCCATGGTATTCTACCAGTTCACTCAGCTCAGAAGGTTGCTCCCACTCTTCTTTAGGATTCCCAGGGGGTAATATGAATGGGTTTTCTGAAAAGGCCGACGATGATCATGAAAGCTTCTGAGGAAGACGTTTTAAGACAATGAAAATGGCTCATTAGTGAGAAAAATGCCAGAAAGCCGTGCTGAGGTTTTGGTTTTTCCCTTTTTAAATCACAATGCACCTGGTCCTTCTTGGGGGCAGCAGGAAGTGCCCTATGCGAATTTCTTGGGGGAAGCCTTACCCCATCCACCTCATAGCTCTGATCATGCCCTTCGGCCGTCTTTTGCTTCTCAAACTCAAAGAACATTCGAAAGGAACACACGTTGCGTCCTTCAAACCACAGCCACTGCCACGGAGGCCATTCTGACGAACGGCAGCCTGATCATGGCGGCTGTGTCCGTAAACAAGGGCTTCCCATTTTGAGATTTTTGTTTAGTAAAGGTTTTTAGGGTTTGTAGCAATCTTTTTTGACTCATCTTCATATAGTAAAGGTCAAAGTCCTGGCATGACAATTCAGCTCTTTCCACAAAGACCTCCTAGAGCCGGTTTTATTTTGTAGAGAGGTCTTTTCAAGTTCTTGCTATCTTATTTAAACAATTGACTAGAATTGTGTCTGACTCAACACAACACTGGCTGACCAGCGCTTGGCTAGCAGTTTCTTGTCTGGGAAAGTTTGCCTTATAGTTATGTCGTGGGGCTTCGGAAACACTGACAAGCCACCTACAGAATCGCATGCTTGTACAGACATGGAAAATGCTCCTGTTTCCGAGTGCGGGGCAGTGCTACCTCTCTCGGGAAGCAGATGCTCAGGATACCTGGGCTCCAGTTGAGATAGCGGAGGGGCGTTCCATCTGACCACTGCCAGCCGGCGTTGTCATCCAGCTGGTTCAGACCCATCCACACTTCCACGGCCTCACTGTTCAGGCGCTCTGAAATGCAGAATCACAGAGATGAAAAAGCAAACAGCCACGAGTGTTTTAGATTTTGTTGTTGTTTCCCTGTTCCTGGGACACGGGGTCAGACAGGAATCCCCGACAAGGATGGGGAAGTCCAGGAGCTGCCGATAGGAGCCAGTGTGTCAGAGTAACAGAAGCCGCTCCAGTGGTCTTGAAAAACCGCCTTCTCCCGCAGTCTCCCTAACGGAGCAGTGCTTTC